TCCAGATTTTTTTTTTTTTGTTTGAGACAGTCTCTCACTCTTTTGCCCAGGCTGGAGCACAATGGTGCAATCATGGCTCGCTGCAGCCTTGACCTTCTAGGCTCAAGCAATACTCCCACCTCAGCCTCTCAAGTAGCTGGGACCACAAATGCACACCACCACGCCTGGCTAAATTTTTAAAAAAATTATTTTCTGTAGGAACAGGATCTCCCTATGTTCCCCCAGGCTGGTCTTGAACTCTTGGACTCAACTGATTCTTCCACCTTGGCCCCCTAAAGTGCTGGGATTACAGGTGTGAGCCACCACGCCCAGCAGTCCTCCAGCTTTATTTCATTTCTTCAAGACTGCCTTGGCTATTTTTCGTTCTTTGCCTTTCTACATAATTTTAGAATTGCTTTTGTTTTTCTTTCTTTTTTTTTTTTTTGAGACGGAGTCTCCCTGTCGCCCAGTCTGGAGTGCAGTGGCACAATCTCGGCTCACTGCAACCTCTGGCTCCGGGTTCAAGTGATTCTCCCACCTCAGCCCCCCGAGTAGTTGGGATTACAGGCACAAGCCACCACGCCCAGCTAATTTTGTATTTTTAATAGAGACGGGGTTTCACCATGTTGACCAGTCTGGTCTCGAACTCCTGACTTCAAATGATCCGCCCACCTCAGCCTCCCAAAGTGCTGGGGTTGCAGGTGTGTGAGCCACCGCGCCCGGCCTAGAGTTGCTTTTTAATTTACACATACACACACGTGCACACATGCACAAAATCTGCTGGCATTCTGACTGGGTTTTTATTGACCGTATAGATAAATTTTGGAAGAATGGATGGACATCTTTAACTTTTTTTTTTCTCTATAATATGTTACAGTTTTCAGTGTAGAGCAGTGGTTTTTAACTAGGGGTGATTTTGCTCCCATCCTCCCCATCCCCCAGGGCAGTATCTGGAGTCATTTTTGGCTGTTATGCTAGGGGATGGACAGCGCTAATGGAATCTTGTGCACAGAGGCAAGGATGCTTCTGAACATCCCAAAATGTACGATTCCCATAACAAATAATTATAGGCTCAAAATATCAATAGCACCAAGGTTGAGAAGCCATGGTAAAGGGTATTAAACTTTTTCCTTAGAATTCAATATATTGGGCGCTAGCATAGATCATTTCTTTTAAATTTTTATATTTTTGTATATAGAACTATACTAAATGTTTAAAATATTGAGCTTGTGTCCAGTGACCATGCTAAAATACATTTTTCATTCAAGCAGTTTCTCTATAGGTTCCTTGGATTAGTACATACACAATTGTATCACCTGTGAATAAAGACGGCTTTACTACTTTTGTGAACCTGCTCCTTCAGGAAGTGCTATGCGGCCAATAGCTGGCTCTTTTCTGTACAGTTGAAGGGCCTGCTGCAAAATACAATCCAAACGTTATCTACAGGGTGCAGACCAGCAAAACAACAACAACGAAACACTCTTAATACTTACTTTGGTTTCCCTAAAAATAGGGAGATTCTGAGGCACAGCCCTACTCAGTATCTCCTGGGAGGCAATTTTCTTTTTTCTTTTTTTTTTTTTTTTTGAGATGGGATCTCACTCTATTGCCCAGGCAGGTATGCAGTGGTGCGATCTCAGCTCACTGCAACCTCCACCTCCGGATTGAAGCGATTCTCGTTCCTCATCCTCCCAAGTAGCTGGGACTACAGGCACCCGCCACCACGCCTGGCTAATCTTTGTATTTTTAGTAGAGATGGGGTTTCACCACATTGGCCAGCCTTGTCTGGAACTCCTGACCTTAAGTGATCTGCCCACCTCTGCCTTCCAAAGTGCTAGGATTACAGGCATGAGCCACTGCAGCCAGCCTGTAATTTCCAATCTGTAGAAGTCTGTGTAACTGCACAAATGTCAGCCAAAGAAAGCTGATCTGCCAACCATAAGCATTGACATGGGGTCAGGGCACATGCTCACTACAGAAAGTGATTTTGGAGTTATTTTTTGAGAGTGTTTTTTTTCTTCTTCTTCCATTTTTAGAGATGGGGTCTCACTATGTTGCCCAGGCTGGTCTTGAACTCCTGGGCTCAAGTGATCCATCCATCTTGGTCTCCCAAAGTGCTGGGATTACAGGTGTGAGCCACTGCACCTGGTCATGAGAATGCGTTTCTGAGAGTGTGGTTAGGAGTAGCCTGGTGCAAGAGTGGAAAGGGGTGATCTCTTTCTTCCATCCTATTAAGGGTCATAGCCAATACTCTTACAATAAAAGACAGGTTAACAGGAGAAAAACATAACAAATTTATTAACATGCATGAAGCAGGGGAGCCATATAAAAAATATGAACATAACACAGAAAGGCCCAATGGTTGGCACTTAAGTACTCTCTTCACTGGGGAAAGGGAAGTAGGGGGGCTTTAAATGAATGGACCCAAAGACCTGACAGTGGTTTGTAAATGGTTCTCTTTGGACGCTGAATGGGACTGAAGGACAAACAATAGCTTGTGGACAAGTCATGAAAGGTGAGGGGTAGTACTGCACTGTGAACCAAGGTTGTCTTACTATGCGGATACAGTCTCCCAGGTTATCTCTTGAAACTGCCCTCAGAAGAAAAGATGAAAAGTCTGTCTGGTATGGTATCCTGGCTGTAGCTTCTTTTTTAGTCTTTTCTTGGGTGATTAATCATTCCTGGTTATTTAATGAGATTCATAGGGAGGGGGCTTTAAGACAACTGCATTTATTTTAGAAGAAGTTTTCTCAATCAGGTAACGGAACTTCCAGAGAAAGAGCTCCTTCTGGTGCTTTAGAAAAAGAAAAGGTCCAAAAAAAAGGAAAGAAAAAGGGTCAGAGAGATAGCATGCTCCTGGTGCTTTAGAAGAGTGTCAAAAAAAGAAAAAAAAAAGAAAAAAAAGAAAGAAAGAAAAGAAAGGGTCAGAAAGACACCATGGTGGGGGAAAGTCAAGAGAGAGAGCTTGAGGCTGCTGCTTTAGTCCAGCTCGTCAAATGCCACATTTGGGGCATTATTTTCTGATCCTCAACACTTGTGTAACAAAGAATTCCAAGCTGGAAGTCAATAAACTAAATTCCCCTGTGAGCTCTGTGGCTTCAGCAAGCTGTCTAAGATTCAGGGTCCTCTTCTGTAAAACAGACATTTCCCCTACCCTTCTCGTGGCTCCTTCTGGCCATATTCCAGAGTCCATATTCTGGTTATATTCCAGGGTCTATAACCTTGCATTGCTTCTGTGCAGAAGGAGAAAAGAAGCCACACTTTCCCCAAAGAGTAGCCACAACTACGTAAAAATGAGAAGACATGAAGACACTTCAGAAGAAAGGAGGGTCACCAGGCTCACCCACAAGCCTCAGAGCAGGGCTTCGTTTTGATTCTTTGGGAGTCAGTGCTCTCAGTGATCTCATCTTTCTTCACAGCTCCGGCTCTTCCCTCCTCTTTTCTGATGGCCTAGATTATATTTTCAGCAGATTGAGCCAGATCCTCATGACCACCTCCCGGAGGTCTGCTCAGCCCTGGGCTGTCACTTCAGGCAGGCAGTGAGAACTGCAGTGTAACCCTTTCATCTCTTTCACAACGTCTGACTGCAGAGCCCACCCCGGTCCCAGGACTCTGGTTACACAACCTTTTGAGGCAGGCTCAAGAGATTCCCAGGTAGCACCCTTCCCCTCACCTCCAAATACCCACTTACCCTTCTATCCACACCTCCTCTCTGCAAACCATCACCGTTCCCATACTAGCAGTGATGGGGGACTCTCCAGCCACCCTCCCAGGCACGGCATCGTCTCTTCACTTTGTCAGGCTCTGACTCCTGTCATGAGGCAGCAAAGATTCAAGAGAAGGAAGTCGGCCAGGTGCCGTGGCTCACACCTGTAATCCCAGCACTTTGAGAGGCTAAGGTGGGAGGGTCTCTTGAGGCCAGGAGTTTGAGACCTCATCTCTACCAAAATAAAGAAAATTAGCCAGGTGAGGTGGCATACCTGTAGGCCCAGCTCCTCGGGAGGCTGAGGTGGGAGGATTGCTTGATCCTAGGTCGAGGCTACAGTGAGCCACGATCTCACACTGCACTCCAGCCTGGGTGACAGAGCAAGATCCTGTCTCAAAAAAAAAAAGAGAGAGAAAACTCTCAAGAGGAGTGAATCCCTCCGCGGTGCTGACTCCTGAGGCCACTCAGCCCTGATTGCCCAGCTGTGGGAATCCCATGCTGGCAGCTGCAGCCGCCGCCAGCAGAGTCCTGTAGATGACCCCTTCTTGTTCTCTGCTCCCAGCAGACTCAATAGCTCCTTTTAATTTCCTGTAGCACAGCAAAGAATAAGACTGGATCATTTAACAGGATTCTTCAGTGGCTCAGGATAGCGAAAGAAAAAGCAACCTTAAACCAGACTAACAAGGCTCACCAGGTCCAGGCCACTTCCTTCCAGCAGAATGAATGGAACAGCGGTTCTACCCTCTCTTTGGCAGGGCCTGTGAACTCCAGTTCCTCTCGCCCTTCTCACCCGGTCCTTTAGATTCTCCCAGGACTTTCTGAGCCGCTGCTCTCACCTCCTTTTCCTGGCCAGTTCACCTCTGACTTACCTGGAGCTGCAGACCGAGTGCTGCAGCCAATTGTTTCGCCTGTTCCTAATGCTGCCCTCAGCCTCAAAGCCCATCTCCCTCACAGGGGGTGGCAAACACCATCCCTGGAGGAGGGGCTGAGAAATACCAGTGCCAGACTAAAATATGATACAATCACATGAGCAGAAGAAATTAGGCCACTCATAGAGCCCAGACAACGGAAAACTGTAGCAATGGCACACTGCTAAAACCAGGGAGGCCATTCAAAGAGTGAGTTCTCCCCAGGAGAGCTCACTGTGCGCGGCCACTTGGATGGAGCAGCAGCTGCCGCAGCTCAAAGCTCACATGATCAGGCGCTCCACATTCTCCTGTGGACTTCAGAGAAAGAACCAAAGTGTGCAGAAGCTGGAAGCGTGGGGAGGCACGAAGGAACAAGACATTGATACAACCTAAAGAAGAGACGGGACAAGTGTTCCGGTTTTTCTTTTAATTATTTACCAGATAAAAAAGAAAAAAAATAGTGATTGTTTCTCTTCACCCCCAACATTTCCGTTTACCAAGGTCGAGTTGGAGAGAAATTCATTGAACAATGATTTGTGCTCCTGGCCTGGAGCAAATTCTTCTCCTCTGCTCTACGCCACCTCAGGCAGCAGGGACAGGGCAAAGGGCTCCAGGCAGAAATCCTGGCGGCTGGGCAGCGGAGTGGCATTGTGGCTATCGTTTCTTCTCACCGTTGCCAGAGCATTCAGACCCTTTCCTGTCTATCCCCCTACCCCGCCCTGCCCAGTCCCTCAGAGGAGGCAGGGAGCGGGGACTGCAGGAAGCAGGACAGGTGCACGGGTGGCCCAGGTAGCTCCCGGCAGATCTGGCAGAAGGCACAGCCCCTGCTTCTATTGCACATCCTGGCTCAGCTCCCCTGCCCCGAGCAGTAGGCCACAAAGTAAAACGCTTTTCAAATTCACAGAGCCCGGTGCTGTGCGCCAGGCTCAAGGAGGGGAGGTGTGTTGTTGTGTGGCTTGTTCTGGAAGATAGGTATGTATTTTTAAGTTATCCCATGATGGGGCCAAGGCCACAGTTTCGCCTCTTTAAAAAAGTATAAGGGGTCTGGACATCTCGGGGTCCTGTAGTGACTGGGCCTCTTCCCAGGCGAGTGCAGAGGCCTCGGAAGAAGCTTTCCCCCACCAACGGACCTCCTGCTGCATCGGATGAAGAGGCAGCGCCCACCGGCCACACCAGCCCCTCCGGACTGTCATGACTCTGGGCCACTTGGGGCGACCTCTTTCTCTGAACACCTGGAGAATTCTGACAAATGACCCTAGAGAAAAACCTTTTACACTACATGTTTCTCCATAAAATGGCAGCTAAGTCCCCTCAAATAAAACCTTGAAGTGTTTCATTCTCATTCTTCTCTTACCAGTGAAATCAACTGGGGCAGAGTAAGTTATTTAACTGACATTAGCGAGAGGATAAACCCCTCTAAAAAACCACAGGGGGAAGTGGGAACTGATTCAGATTTGGCAAAACTGCAAATCTTTCCCCTTCATAGGCTGGAACAAAGCTGGTGGGTGAAGACAAACTAAGTGTGCCAATGGCAAGAACTGCAGGCTATGAAATGACAGGTCAGACACAGGACTGTATAAATTGTGGCACTATAAAGATGAGAAGGCAGGTCCATAATACAGCTGGGAGCAAGCCTTTGGAGCATCGCTTCCAGAAATTCTATCTGTCCTGTAGTAAGTAGTAGCATCCAGATAAATCAGTAGTTCTCCTTCCTCCTCTTCCAAACACATTCTGAGAGTTTCTTGTTTAAATAACTATGTACACACCCAGCAAGCCTGGTCTCTCTTTTACATGAGGGTCCTTCACTTGAGGGTCCTACAATGGCTTTAGAGTCGGTTCCAATTGCCTTTTCGGAGATTTACTGCTTGGGACCAAACCTGCAAGGCAAAGAAATGACTGAACACTATAACAGGAAAATCTTGAAGATGAAGGCATTCCAGTGTTTATGAGACTGAGTCTTAATATAAACAAACCCTCAACTCCCTATAGGGCTCTGGTACTCTGGCAAATTGAGTAATTGGGCTTGGGCCCATCAACTCTGTCAGCCAGAAGGCCACATGCCCGCCTGAGGCCTTGGAAAACAGCTCCATACCTCCCTCTGAAAAGGACAGTTTCTCAAGTTCAGCTTCAAGTTCAGCATCTGAGATCCTAGGGTTAGGCACACTGTTGGTAAAATGCCTATTGCGGGGGTTGTCAGGCAGATCCAAAGGTTCTTTGGTGGTATCCTGAAGGAGGATGTCCAATTCCTTCTCCAGTTCTTCACTGTCAAAATCTGGAAATTAAAGAGAACATAAAGATGCATAAACTCCAGGGAGAAATGCATTAAAGAGTACAGGACTGAGGTTACCAAAACTCCGCTTAGCTTTTCAAAAGATGCCAGGCCTCCTTGCAAATTAAAAAAAAATCCTGGAAGTCAGGAAACTGAGGGTAGCTTCAAGCAGAGACGCTGCTTCCACACTCAGAGTTAAGTCACCAAGGAGGTGTATTCTGTTAACCCCATGGACCTGACCCTGATTCCCCTTGCCCTTGAAGGAGGATCCTCCAGTCGGAAGCCTTGTGAATGAGGAATGCTGGAGCACAGATGGGTCATGAGCACAGCTGTCAAGGAGGAAATGGCAATTCCCTGATTGCTCCTGCAGATGGGCCCCAGGGAGGGCAGGCTAGGAGAGGCCTGCCTGCAGCTGGAAAAGCAAATCTACTGTCAAACTCATCACAGCACATGGAAACGAAGTCTTCTAGGATGAAAAGAAGAAACAATTGCTTTGGGCCGGGCATGGTGGCTCACGCCTGTAATCCCAGCACTTCGGGAGGCGGAGGCAGGCGGATCACGAGGTCAGGAGTTCAAGACCAGCCTGACCAACATGGTGAAACCCCATCTCTACTAAAAATATAAAAATTAGCCCGGTGTGGTGGTGTGCGCCTATAATCCCAGCTACTCAGGAGGCTGAGGCAGGAGAATCGCTTGAACCCAGGAGGCGGAGGTTGCAGTGAGCCGAGAATGTGTCACTGCACTCCAGCCTAGGTGACAGAGTGAGACTCCATCTAAAAATAAATAAATAAAAATAAAAATAACCACCTTGTCCACTCACCTAAGCCATTGGTTACCCCACCAGCCAGAGTCTGAGAAACTTCATCCTGGGTGTCACAGAGCTGTAAGAGACAAGTGCAAAGCCCTGAGTTGGGCATGGTGGCTCTGAGCATCTCAGTCTTCGGTAGAAAATATCTAGGGTGACAAAGCAATCCTGCCCCAAATGAGAATCAAGAAAAGCTTCCTCAAGTTCACAAGGTCATAAGTCAAGTTTCATTAAAGAGGATGTACAATGAAGTCAAATCTGTCCTCTGTCACTTCCTTCCCTGTGTCTCCCTCCCTGGCCCCTTTCTGTACCTCTTGGATCTGATCCACAAGGCTCTCTGCCTTCTCCACTGTGACATCCTTCATGGAGAGTTTGAGTGCTCCCACCCCAGCCTGGTAGGCATTAAAAACCTAAAGACAAAGCAAAGCTATCAGTGCATATGATATACATTTGGCAAAATACATACAATATTGTTTCAACTCCAAAAGGCAGCTTTGGGGTTTTTTTGGCACCCAAGTTCAATATACCCTATACCCACTGAGGCCAAACCTCCTGACTGGAAAGACAAAGGCAACCCCAGCTACATCCCGAAAGAACCCAGGGATCCTCCAAACAGCAAAGCCGAAGCTGCAAGTGACCAACACCCACGGAGAGACAAGCTGAGTGCTGGAGTAGGGGGGAGTGGCTACCATTTGATCTGTCTGGGAGGCATAGATCCGGTCCAGGATGCCTTGAACAGTGTCCAGCTTGGCATGCAAGGCCTCGATGCGCTTCTCTGTCCGTTGCTTGGCCTTGAGAGACCTCAGTGCCTGGGGGGCATGGAGACTTAGGTCAGTGCTGAACTGGGCAAGCCAAAGGGCAAGAGGAAGACAGCCCTTCCCAGACGCTAAGGCTGTCCCAGCCTTCTTCCCTCCGGTCTGTAAAATAAGCTGTGGTGCCTGGGCCCCTGCAGACTCTGTCCCCCTCAAAACCCCAGCGGGCTGCTCTCCGAACTGCTGGGCATCGCTCCAGGCCTGCCTGGGGCACTGCTATGGGGCTGGAGGAGGCAAGAACTCACCAGCTGCTTCTTTCCTGCTCGGCATGCCCGGCGGGCTTCTTCTTTACACCTAGAAACAGAGGGACAGATAAGATGACTGAGTCACAGGACGGGAGGGGCAAGGTCCCAAAGGGTCCCTGAGAGCAGCACTCAGTCAAGGTGGTTTTAAATCTGAAGACTAAACCCACTCTGCCCAGTGGCAAGAAAAATGATGCTGATGGCCAAAAACTCTTGTGCAAGTCAACAGACAGCTCAAGCAGGCTGACTGAGGACAAGCTTTTTCAACCCACCGCGACAGAACATGCAAACAGGGCACCTCGTACATGTCTTCCCAATTTGGGGAGACAGGGAATGAACTGTTAACACCAACAATGACCTTGGACACATCCCTCTGCCTCCCAACAAGGCGAGGCTTTCCCAACTGGAAGACAGACTTCAATGTCTGTGTCCGCCTGCCGGAGTGTGTGTCTTTATCAGGGATTCCTTGTACAGTCATCCAGGGGAAAGGACAGGGCAAGGGCCCCTCAGAAAGACCTCTGCAAAGGCAGGAACCCACCTTGTCCACGGCTATATCCCCAGTCCCTAAGACAATGCCTAGCTCAATAAATATTAGTTGAATGGATACTGGTAAGGAAGAGCATAAACATTACACTCACAGTCATGGTCTGCGGGGGAAGAATTAACACTCGTGTTTTCAGCTGGGCACAGTGGCTCACCCCAGGAACCCCGGCACTTTGGGAGGCTGAGGTGGGAGGCTTGTTTGCGCCGAGGACTTTGAGACCATCCTGGACAACATGGTGAGACCCCGTCTCAACAAAAAATTAAAAAACTAGCCAGGCACGGTGGTGCGCACTTGTGGTCCCAGCTACTGAGGAGGCTAAGGCAGGAAGATTGCTTGAGCCCAGGAGTTTGAGACTGCAGTGAACTAAGATCGTGTCACTGCTCTCCAGCCTGGGGCATAGCGCAAGACCCTGTCTCAAT